GTCTTGCTGAGATTTCACATGTGAAAGGTGCACCACCTCTGCATGGCATCAGAGACAATATGCAGCGGTTCTTGGTGACTTCAGGTGCAGAGACAGACAAATACCCCCTCGAAGTGCTTTTCAACTGGCCACACCAATGGACACCAGGACGTGCAGTCACACAGGCCAACAGTCCCGAGCATTGTTCAGCAGCTGCAGCGGCCAACAGTCTGCTTCCAAGCCAGGGACCAATTGATGATTTCACAATTGCCTTGAGTATTGGCTCCTCTGTGACAATGGCCTGTCAGCTGCTGTGCTGGACAGCCATCAAGCTGGACTGGATGGGTAGTGGCAATTTGTTGGCAGAGGATGTCAAGCAGGAACTTGCACGTCGTCTTCTCAAGTGTTTGTGCTTCCTGTCTCAGTGCATTAAATCTTTTTGCATGCAGATGAAGCTGTCTGTTTGTTTTTGAAGATTCAATCAATTGATTTTTGGCCCTGTTTCAGAGCTCAGGTGTCTTTGGCATTTGCAACCCAAAGCAGTCAGTCGAAGCGCAGTCCTTGGACAGTCTCAGAATCAAGACTGATGCCAGTTCCAGATCAAGACCGTCAATTGCCAACATGCACTTTCTGTTGGGATCTCAGCTCACACACAGTAGTTTGGATGTCATGTGTAGGGTTGAATGATTTGCAGTCTCTCAGTCTTGCAGCCCATTCAGGTTCGACCGGATTGTGTCTCACAAGCAGAGCTGTGGAACCAGAAAGACACGCCACGACCTGCTCCAAGAGGCCATCTCTAAGCACAACAAGCAAGCAGTGGGAAAGTCCAGAGTCAACCCGGATGAGATTTCGGCACTGTATGTGTTCGACCAGGCGCCATACTCTGTACGCCGGCTACTGAAAGTAATCTGGGGGACAGAGGCCCCCCAGTACACAGCCATCACTCTGGGCTGCATTGCTTTGCCTCACTTCAATCCTGCGAAGCCACAGATCGGGCTTCTTCGAGTTCAGAGGGAGGCCAACCCATTGTGGTATGAGATTTGCAGGCATTCTTGGGCCAAGGTGGAGGAAACACTTGTCCGGATGCAGAACAAGTGGGACATGAAGATCAAGGAGTACTTGGACAGAAATCAGACCCCACCTATTCACCAGCAGGCAGTCTGCAGTGGTTTCAGAGATGCCGGGAAAGAGCAGGAGGTGTATGTGATGGCATGCTTGATGGTCCACTTTCAGTCCGAGCTCAAAGCCAGTCTCACAGGCCCACAGTTTGAGAAGCTCATGCAGAACTGGCGTTGTGGTTGGTTGGACAGCAAGTTGCTCCCAGAGATTGTTGCTATGAGATCTGATTTCAAGATCAGTGACATCAACAGTCAAACAGTCCCACAGTCAGACAGCCCACTCCCTGAAGACCTCATGGTCCTGGCGGATGAGGAGACTGAAGAGGGAGTTATGTCCTTGATTACCTTGGCACGTGGGTTGAAGAAGGAGCAGGACTTGATGAGAGTGCATCGAGCAGCAGTCCACCGCCACAGTGTTCAAACAATTGCTGCTGAGTGTGAGTGGCAGAAGTCAAAGCAGTCCTCAATCGACACAGCATGGTCAGATCACCAGGTGGAGAGTAGTTAATTTCAACAAATATGTGTTGTCTTTCAAGTCTAGATCCTTAGCCCCAATAAGTATATTTTGAAGTGAGCTTCCTCAAGCAGCCTGGAAGGTCTATTTTCAAGTGGGTGTTGCCAAGACTTGCAATGCTGCTGAGTCTTTTGAGCAAACTGCTCACCGTCTTGTGGCTGGCCGCTTGCTCAAAGAGACACATCAGGCACTTGGGTTCGAAAAGACAAGTTTACTAATTAATTCAGCATAGTCCACATGTGTTCTGTGTTGCAGGTCCCAGTCCTTGGAGTCCTCAACATTCCGATGCTTGGGAATGCAGCCAGTTCAGTCATCAAGCAAGTCACAAGCAAGCTCGCAGTCGAACTGTCTCACAGTCCCAACACGCTGATGTATGTCATTGTCCCCCCGAACCAGCCGGTGCATGGAGTTGGAAGAGTCAGCAAGAGTGAGCGCGAGCAGAAGGTTCTGGCCCACCAGCAGATGTGGAAATATGAACTGGAAACTGTAGAGAATGCAGTGATCCTGAAAGCACAGGCCTTGTTCGATGTCGACAGCATGTACAGTGATGAACGTGACTTGGGCATTGAGCTGTGGCTGATGCTGCCGCAGGCAAGTGTTCCAGAGGGGGCAGAGGATGCGACTCCAGTCCTACAGTCCCCTTCCTCGCAGTCTACTACAGTCTCGCAGTCCTTGCAGTCCATTCAGTCCAAGAATGTGTTTGCAACCTCTGTGCTTGTGAAGAGGAAGGCAATCCCAGGGTTGGTGCATTGCATGGAACGTTCAAAGATGCAGAACTTCAGCAAGGACCTCTCATTTGCACAAGCTGGGTCGACCAATGGAGATATGGACTTGGAGCGAGTCTTGACTTCCACATATAGTGGTGGCTGCTGTGTGGGGTTGATGAGTGTGTGTGTGTGTGTGTGTGTGTGCATCTAAGGCAAGCAATGGTTTTCAGGCAAAAGTTTTCTCATGGACCTTGTTATGGCAGCTGTGAAGGGCACCAAGATGAACCGAACACACACTGTGATTGTCAAGGATGTTGCACCCTATGATGCAGAGTTGGCTGTGACTTGTGCCAGTCTCAATGCAGTCACCCCCAGGTCCTGGCCTGATTTCGCCTATGTTGCTTCATCATGGGTTGGCAACCAGGGATTCAAGGAGCAGGTGGCAACCAACATTGAGTCAGTCATTGCAGAGCATGTCAAGGGTGCCATTGGACGTGGTGAGTACCCTTTGGCCAAGCTTCCAGATGGCATGATACAGGCCCCAGTCCCACAGTCGAGCAGTCCGACCCTGAACCTTTCAGAGTTCAAGTTGACTTTGCCATCCCCGAACAATGAGCTTCTGCTTCTGATCGACACAGTTGCCAGAGGGAAGCGTTGCAACAAAGTGACTCTGCCTGAGACAGAGGTATGGAAGGGACTGTCGTGGCCTGACATTCTGAAGAAGCACAATGATGAGTTCAACCCTTCAGGGACTATCCGTGCGAAGCGTGATGCAGATGTTTCAGTCCAGGAGTTTCTTAGATGGCATTCTGATTTGTCACATAGTTTTTCCTGGGGCTTAGTCTTTTTTGTAAACATTCAAAACAGATATGTTGATTTGTAGATCTCCAAGGTTGGACACCTCGAGCCGGGCATCATCGACACTGTCTTCAGTCCTACAGTCCATCAGTCCAGACATGGGCAGGTGCCAGCCGCCTGGCATCACAGCATATCAGTTTGCTGTGTCCAAGGATGGAAAGCTCTATGTCAAGGGCCTGACAGACTCGAACCTGGAGGGCCAAATGTTTGTGGTCCATGGCAGGTTCAAGCGAGGAGATGAAGCCAAATCTTTGCTGAGTGAAGGCTCTGATTCAATCATTGCCTACAGTCTCACAGCAGAGTCGGCAGTCTTGCTCAAGGCCAAGAATGGCAGCACATTGCCAGCAGCGCTCCAGAAGTATGCAGAGAAGCCGGCTGCCTTGGGGGGGATCCTCAATGCCATGTCAATGGCAGGATTGCCAAAAGTGGGGTTGTACCTCCACAGTTGTGAAAGTGAGACTACGGGGACAGATGTTGTGTGGACAGTCAAGGCCTTGGAACCGGCATGCCTCAAATGTACAATTGAAGAGCCAGGCGAGGATAGCAGCAGTCCCTTCCCGCCGCAGGAGATCTCTTTTGCAAAGCTGTCCAGTTATGTGGTACTGTCCCAGCTTACTCAGGTCCAGATTTGCTTTGCCCTTGAGTATGATGACCAGGCCAACAAGCTGAAGGGCATGTACCCCAGTGTTTGTATGAAAGATACAGTCAAGCTTCCAAAGGATGTCATTGCACTGATGTAGATGCAAGATCCAGACAGTCCTACAGTCCTACAGTCCTACAGTCACCAGTCATATGAATCATTATTGCTGTTGGTCTGTTAGACTGTGGGCCTGTCTGCACACGTAGAGCTTGTAGGTGCAGCTGCAGTTGAGTCCCGACAAATAGTCGTTCCTCGACTGATTTTGCCAGCTCAGTTTTGTCAGCTCGGCTAACACAGCCAGACAGAGATGTGGCGCATCGGAGAAAACTGACTCTTGCACTGACTGTCAGTTGTAGCTGCACTGTCAGTGCCACAGTCTTGCAGCCCACTGAGCTGCAAGCTCATGTTTACTTTTAAAAGATTTAGGGTGTAGAGTTATTAGAATTTAAGGGTTGGGCCCTGGGGTTCTGGCTCTCGTCTGGTATCGTGGTCGTCGTCGTCGTGTCGTAAAGGACCCCTCTAGCGTTTAAGGGTTTAGGGTTTAGGGTTTAAAGAATTTGGAGACAAGGCTCTGTCGGCCTTTGGTTTGGAGAAGGCTCCTTCAGGAGAGAGGGTTGCAACTACTCTAAAATCTAACCTAACCCTCAGGCCTACAGTCCTACAGTCCTAAAAAGCCTTTCAAGACAAGGCTGTGTCAGCCTCTTTATGAAGCTCCAAAACCCCTAAACCCTCAGTCCTACAGCCCTACAAACCCAAAAACCCAGACTTTCAAGACAAGGCCGTGTCGACCTCCTTTGTTTGATAAGGCTCCAAAAACCCTGAAAAAACCTGATTGCCCAGGTCTGCCTCGTGGAAGATGTCCAAGATGCTGGGCACCAGGGCACAGCGGCTGCTGCAGCGGCACCAGCAGCGCCGATGTAGAGGGGCAGAGTGGGCTTGGAAGGTATGTTTTAAAGAGGCTGGGTGTTCTGGACTTCATATGCAGTTCCACAGTCTCACTGTCGACAGTGTGGACAGTGGGACTGTGGACCTGCACCTGAAGAGACTACATTCTGGACTGGGGGCCTGCCTAACACTGACACCTTATAGGTGTAGAAACTTACCTGGCCCTGAATATATTCCTTCCAGCAGTTTTTTTGGCTTCTGACTTCAGACTATCCCACTGTCTCACAGTCCCTGGCGCAATGGACGGAGATGTACCTTTTGACAGCAAGGTACTCACATACTGTGAGAGGGTGTCCAAGAGACGCAGAGTTCTCAACAATCTCAAGCAGACCGACATGTATCACCTCGCCAAAGCGAATGTGGCCAAAATAGCTGCCAAAGAGAATGATGGCAACATGAACTCGAACAATATGAACTCGAACAACAAGAAGTCTGGACCTGGTCTCCCCAGTCCTCCGATGACACCACGAGATATTGAGGACATGTCAAAGAGAGATTGGGAGAAACAGTTTTTTGTCTTCAAGACCAGACTACGTGAGTATGCCCAGTGCATGCAGGACTGATTACTTCCTTCTGCAGTCTCACAGTCTGGCAGTCCCACAGTCTACAGTCCCAAGATTGAGAACAAGCTGTTGTGTGTTTTGTTTGTGTTGGTTTTGCACTGCCAGACTGACTGCTGAAGAGGAGGTTCACACTTGTGGGCCCAAGGACTTTGAACTGTATTTGGGACCCATGTACAATAGCCACATGCACAGACTGACTGTCTTGTGCAGTGTGCATGGAGTACAGTCAGTCTTGCAGTCCTCTACAGTCCTAGAGAATCAATATGTTGAACCAGACTTTTCAACTGCAAGACTGAAAAACTCCACTGCACAATGACTACAAGTCTCATGAGACAAGATCTCAAAAGTATGACAGTTGTGGTCTGCGTATGTTGCAAGGAGTCTTCGGGCAGTGCAGTCTCACAGTCTCACAGTCCATCTACTACCACAAAATAGCAGACTGGGTAGCCTGTATCATGATAGTTGGACTGCAAGACTGGTAGACTGCACATGGACCTGTACATATTGTACTGTTTCTGCTGCTTTCTGCTCATAGCACACTAGCTTGTCTCCCGGTCCTCAGTTCCACTGCTATTCAGTGCCATGGAGACAGATTCTCAAGAGGAGGGGGTATCTGACAAAATGGCAACACGACTGGCAAAGCGCATACGACTGGTTGAGCAGTTTCAGGCCACAGACGTGTACTTTCGCTCCAAGGTGCTCCTCATGCACTGTGACTCACAGTCGACTCCACCAGGGGACCCACCAGTGACACCGAGGATGGAGTTTTCAAAGAGAAGGTGGGAAAAGATGTGGTATGTCTACAAAACCAGGTCCCGCCTCTATGCAGAGTGGCTGAACTAATTCAGTCTGGCAGGCCTTCAGTCTTACAGTCCACAGTCCTGCATTCCTACAGTCCCACAATCCTACAGCAACAACAGGTTGTGAACTGTGGACTACATGACTGGCTGAAGACTGTTGTTCGAAATTATTTTGCACTGACAGACAACAACCAGGGAAGCCTGATGTGATGAAAAGACCTCTTTTAACAAACAGTCTCATCGTCGTCGTGTCGTAAAGGCCCCCCTCTCGTGTAGGCTCGTAATAATGTAACAAACAGTCACACAGTCCTACAGGCCTTGGGGTTCCAGGTTCCTCGTACAGTCACACAGTCCTACAGGCCTTGGGGTTCCAGGTTCCTCGTACAGTCACACAGTCCTACAGTCCTACAGCCTTGGGGTTCCAGGTTCCTCGTGTCGTCAGTGTAGCCGTCGTTTTCGTCGTCGTCGTCGTGTCGTAAGGCCCCCTCTCGTGTAGGCTCGTAATAATGTAATGTAACAAACAGTCACACAGTCCTACAGGCCTTGTAGTGGGAGATATAGGCCTTGAAGTTCTCAAAGAAAAAACAAGGGATGTTGGTTGCAAAGGCTGGAAGGAATAGCTCATAATCTCTCCAAGTCGGTATCCTAGTTACCCTGGCCTGATATCCTAGTTGTCTTGCCGACTCCTTATTTGTTTTATGAAAGCAAGATGGCAGGGTATGAACCACACGTGCAGTTTAGCGGTTGTATCGTTTCCGATTTGTATATTAAACTTTACATTAAAAAGAAGAGCATCATCTACAGGATTAAAACCGAAAATCTAGTGACCAGCTCGGTAGATGGAACAGTAGAAGTATATAAGAACCGAACAGATTTATAACAAGATGTCTAAAGCGATGTGTGAATTTAACAAGGCATTATTTAATCCCTTACATAAATCCCACTATAACGAGATTGATATACAAATTCTTAAGGAGTGCCGGACAATCCCGCCAGTAGGTGAAATGACCCAATTCTACAAAGTATTTAACCAGAAAACCGGAAAATACGATACATACGGATTTATGCCCGAAGCGACAACCGAAATAGATGTAAGGAAAGCTTATACACACGCGTTTAACCAAATTACCGAAATCCCCGTCTTTAATCAGTTTGATATCTGGAAGCAGTTTAATTACAAAACGCACGGCTACAGCAAGTTTGACGAACTGACTCTGTTTATGGTTAAACCGAGAGAGAAAGCATTGTTTTTCAAAAAGACCCACTGTTTAGTATGTAGTATGTTTGTAAAGCACAACGCCGATAAATGCGAAATCCTATACTACAAAGAACCTTCTAGAGTGTATAAGGTGAAGTACACTAAACTTATCAATCAGTTATGGGCAACCAAGATATCAGACCATTCCCCCCGAAGATGCGAAAATCAAAGCCCTAATCGCTAATGTTAATTTCGGGTTACTAGAGAAGGGCACGAACAAAACATCTAAACGTTTTGCCTTTGATAGTCTTCGGGAAGCACTGCATTATCAACAACAGGAAGGGGGTAAAATTAACAAAACCACGGGATACGACGAAGACGACAAGGAATTAGCCCAGAAATTTTATTGCTTAACGGTGTCCGACCGTGTTGCTTTAAGAAACGGATACACATGAAGGAGTTACTGCTTCAAACCCACAATCATAAGATACAAGAGGATTATACCAAACTAGTTAATAACGGCGTTGATGTATGGAGCATTGACAACAGATGCCTTTGTAATCAGGCAGGAGCACTTAAGCGAAGCAAGGAAGGCAATAACCTTTAAAAATAATATCGGAGGATGGCGACACGAAAAAGGAAAACAAAATGATGCTTACATTTTTCAAGAGGCTAGGGGCGAAGGACGACCCAAGAGCAAACGAAAACCGCAAAACGTTAGACCGTATGTATGACGACATGTGGATAACAGCATTCCTATAACCGACTTTGTCAGAAAATATTTTGAAACAACTGGTGACCTAGTGGCATCAGAGAAGAACATCGCATATACCAACATAAGGCGTAACAACGTATCCAACTACATAAGAAACAACTTAGGTAAAACTGATAAATACGAAGTAGCAGAATCGCTTATATGTAGAAAGTATAAGAAAGTAGGGAACATAAAGTTTAATGTTAATTATCGGTTTAGAGTTGTTAGTTTATCGGGCAATGTCGTTATCATAGAGAACATAAAATCAAAAGAGCAATATACCACCGACATATACACTTTAGATAATCATTTTTAGATACGACTAGTGCACCATTTGCCATTCGGCACAGAGCGCTTCAATCAAAGGTAGAATAACTATACACGAATGGGAGAAGTCGTATTTAGTAAGTCGTGAATGGATATGGTGCGCCTTGACGAGAAGCACTGATGTTAATGACGTATTGTTTTATGAAGGTGCTACGGATAAAAGCGAACTGACAGAAGAAAACTTACACAGATATTTAAACAGTTAAATTAAGAATTATAAGCTGCAGGATGAAGCAAAGAATAGAAAGATAGACGAAACTAAATATGTTGATATAGAGTGGTTTATGAAGAGGATAAACGGAAATTGTCAGAACTGCGGGTGTCGCTTTGAGTTTGAAATTAAGAACGGCTGTTTAACAAATAACATAACGGCTCAAAGACTGAATAACGAAGACGCCCACTATAAACACAACTGTGAAGTATGGTGTAAGCTGTGTAACTGTAGCGCAAGGTGAAAATCAAAGGATATTGATTTTTCGATTGCCTTTCAATCTAAATATTCTATCGTTTTATTGGAAGATGAACTGCGAACACTTACTGGTGCGGAGCGGTTTGAACTTTCAACATATTCTACTGTAGGTGCTGGGGAACTATGAACACTATGTGGTGGTGTATTTTGAACAGTTGTAGGTAGAACAACACCACAAATAGAAGATTGCCGTGAAGAAGAAGATGATGATGAACTCGATTGTCTAGGTGGTGTTTCTATTCTTCTCTCCTCCAATACTTCTTCACCATCATCACTATTAGTAGCATGTCCTCTTTCAGAAGTAAAGAACTCTCTTAATCTTCTTAAATCTTCTCCTAATCCGTTTCTATTTGTAGGGTTCCCGTTCCGAACTACTCCTACTTACATTTGGTGGTAATCCACTGGATGGCGTGACACCCGGTGAAGACGACGACGAATGGGGTAATGAACTCTAAGGTGTTTCACTCTGTCTTAACATATAACGAACTGTTTGTGTCATGTTGTCCCTTCTTTCTTTCATTAAGTTTTTGTAACCTTTAACTTTACTATCATATAACCACTCTATGCCCTCTATCATAGGAAAATCAACTTGAATACTATTATCACTAGTTGTTACTGTTTCTTCTACATCATAACCTTCAGTTTGTAAGAATGGGTTAGAGGTTCCTTCTATATAAGCATCATCATCTGTTGTTAACCTTTTTCGTTTTGGTAGTTTTTCTTTGTTATATGCTAATGTGTCTTCATTAATAATGGATAGATTTTATATTCCGAATGCTCTTTTGACTAACATTTCAGCACCTTTAATCGCCGCTGCTTTAGCAACTTTTTAGCACCTTCTTTTGCACCCTCGCTTATACTCTCACCAAATATTTTGCCTTTGCCTTTGCCTTTCTTTCTTGCCCACGCATGCTTTCTATGATTAACTTCATCGTCACCGTAAGGTGTCGTCCATGCTCCATCTTCTAAAGCATCCTTAACCATATCTATTAAATACTGTTTGTATGTTCTCTTCTTACCTTTGCCTTTCTGCTTCGATTCTTCGTCGGTAATTTCATGTGGTTCTGGCACTGTAATTCCTCTTAAGAAAAATTGATATTTAATGTATTCCACTGGTTTATTGCTCCAGAAAACAATGTTTGGTGTATTATTAATGTCATCCTGATAAACGGGTTGTCTTTGCGTTTCTCTTGTGGCAAATTCATCCTCTGCGGGTACAGGTTCTTCTTCTGACGGTTCGTCTAAAGGTGTTGTTCTTCTTAACATGCTTTCCATAGCAGGATTACCATACTGCTTTACTAATTGCTCGTGTCGCCCTGCCATTTCTTGGTCTTTTGCTATTTGTTGTCTTACTCTTTCTTGTAATTCCCGCTCCGCGTCTGCATGATAAGCTACCATTCCACTAGGTGGCGTTGGAATTGTTCCAAAATCTTCTGAAATAACTGGCGTATT